CTGAGGCAGCTCCTGGGTTGCAGAGCTGCCCCGGGAGGACACCCGTGCCCCAACAAGGCAGAAAGCAGGCTTGTGTGGCAGGGTTCTGAAAATCAGGCAGCAAAGCCACATACAGAAGCCTACAAATAGGAGACTAAAACATTATTCAACACACCAAAACTCATTACCCACCCCCCGCATGAAACTGCTGATCACCAATATTCTTATCTTAACTAGATATGCTCTGTTGGTAAATTTTTTTATTGAAAGGAAACCAAAACGTCTCTCTGTGCTACAGATAATACTAATAATTACCTGATTCTATAAGAACCATATATTTTTACAAGGAAAAAAGGAAGAAACTTTTCTGCTTGATCTTACCCGCCTACCTCTACACTCCACTTGCTACTACTTCTAAGACTGAGTGCTATTTTTCCAAGAGAGACATCTTGCTTCCATATTAGCACAAGTTTCTAGTCACTAAGGGCACAAAAGCACCTTTATTTAAACAACAACAACAAACACAAATTCAGTTTTCATAAAAATGTTCTCTGCAGCATGCCTGTATCACAGTATTTTCTCAGATTTGTATTTAGTCCATCTATTTATTGCATTATACTGCTTCTGACTCAAGTAAATGCATTGTTCATTTTCTTTTAAATTAAAATTTAATTAGGTCCAACTGAGGCAAAAGAGTATTTTGGAGTTGAATAAGGGCAAGGTATTTCTCAGACATTCAGCTGTCCTGATGTAAACTTTCAGCTGGCACGAGGCAACACCACTGTCTATTTTTTAATATAGACAAAGCAATCCATATTTAAGAACATGGTAAAAATGACAAACTGCTATTAAAGAGATGGTCATTCTCATGGCAAATCTCAGCTGGTGGACGATCCATCACCAGACACGTCATGACCATGGGGTCTTGCAAGCTGTAATGAACCTGAAACCAGACATTTGCTTCTGCTCCCTATTATAAGCAGCCTATGTATCACAACAACAGCTTCCCCACGATTTCTAAGAACACAAAAGTACTTTAAACACAATTCTTTGGGAGTCTGGACTTTACTGGGAGGCAGCAGCATGCCCCATTTAATGGTAATGGCTGGAGACAGGAAAACTGAAGCGCAAACATTCGTGAAGGACTTTGCGATTGCGCAGGGTATATTGCACAGACCAGAGCTGAGGTCAGTTCTGATCCCGCTCCGGGGTTTGGCTGCTTGTGAAGGATTTTCTTTACTCTTCACAGAGATCCTCTGTTCCCCTTCAGGGCACAGGTATCCGATCCGTAACTTGCCAGGCGGACTGGGGAGTTTCCACTGTGGCTACCCACAGGAATACAAGTGCCCATCAAAGATGGACAAACCTGGAGAGCTTTGGCGTGAGCAAGCAAAAGGTCTCCACCGTCACACGGGCCTGGCTCGGATCCCTGCTCACACCCAGAGCACTTCCTACCCCTTCCAGCCCCCCAAGAAATTACACACAGGAACACCCGGGTCCCGAGCTCTCAGCTGGGACTCAGCCTGGCCATCCCCCTTTCCCCAAGGAGGCGCCTGATATTCCAGCAGGCACCGGAGCAGGGAAGCGCTGCCGCCGGGACAGCCCCGCTTCCAGGAGGGCACTGGGATGCACTTGGGTGAGGATGCAGACCGAAGCACCGACCTGCACAGCCCTCCTCCTCGGGGCCGGCCCCGCTCTGCAGACGCCCGGCGTTCATCCAGGGCAGGGCAGAAACATCTTTCACCCTGTCTCGCTAACAGCTACTCGCTCAATCTCAAAAACGCTTTTTCATACATACACGCTAATCTCAAGGTTATGTCTCAAAACCTTTTCTAGCTACTGATTTTACACTGAAGACTAGTAATTTATGGATCTCTCCCCATGAGATGATGCATAACTATATACATCCATGTACACGTACAAAATCAGCGTTCAATACCTACTAGTGAAACGTAGTAGACTTGGGAATTACGACATTAGGTAATCATTTCATGATTTTGTGAGCTCCAGAAATTAAAAAAATAAAATACAGAAAGTATGTGTTAGTATGTACACAGCAAGGTTTCAAAGTCTATTTTGATCCCATGGTCATGTGAAATGCCACATCTTTCCAAAAAGAATGCAAATGTCCTTTTGAGAAAGGCTCTCTACTGATAAATGCAATACTGGAAATGCAAGCAAGTTAGTAAGTGTTCCTACCTGGTAACAATTAGCCTAGTAAACATGTTGACTCTTACCAATAGCACAAGTTTTACCGTCAGCTTAGTGGGAGAAAAATAATTAAAAATGACCATCTTATTAGGCTAATTGTTACCATGTAGGAACACTTACTAACGATGAGCAGAGATTAAAAAAAAACCAATCACTTCCTTTTCTTCTGGTGAAGGGAAGGAAGTCCTCTAGAAAAGCAACACCTGGAAATGGTTCGTTTGATATTTCTTTAACCAAGCAATAAATTCCAGTTATTGGTATTTAGTTTCAAGCCTGTACAAGGTTGGACATCTCCTCTCAAATTTCCCCCTCAGGAACAAATCCCTTTCCAATAGACCAATGCTTGTACTCATCATCATTTGCGGGAAGCTTACATGGTTAATGTAGACAACGTGGAAAGAAGATGAGTCCATTTTCCCCAAGCCAGAGAAATAAATAGCAGGGAGGAAAAAAAATGAAAGAAAAAAAAGAAAATAATGAAAGGACAAGCAAAACCCAGAGTATTTACACACAGTGCGCGGTAGTGTCAAGGTGGGGAACTTCCAAATGCCATCCCACCATCACTGTTAGTGTTCAGTAATACTCTCCAACTATCAGGAAAGTTTTGCCTGTTGTATTTTATGAATTGCAACCCAGGTGGGAAAACCATCTCTCCTCTCACTCCAACCTTTAGAGCTCGAATAGCTGGCAGAGGGTATTCACCAGCTTAGGAAGTGTGTTTTGAGAAAGGCTTTCTGGTTGGGCAGAGCACACAACAGTCCCCCTTCCCACACGTCTACCTGGTGGCAGGAAACAGCTGGGAAAGGTATGAAAACTAAGAACACCCTCTGGATGTTGTGCAGGAAGAGTCACGCACTCACAGTGATAAAAGGCTCAACGTGCAGCACGAGGCCCAAAATGCAAAATCCTGGGT